AAAAACAAAGAGACTGGATAATAACTCAGGTGGTAGAGCACTTGCCTAGTAAGATGGAGTTTCTGAATTCAATTCCCAGTATCACTAATAATAAAAAGTAAAATAATGACTAATTTTAGACCCTATTATGAAAATAAAAATCGTATGTTTAGTGACATTCAGGAAAGGAAATATTTAAATGCAACCCTAGACAAAAATGTGTAAAGTAATCAAAAATACAACAAATGGTGCTCAGATTTTGGATATGAATGCTTGACACACAAAATTATCTTTAAAATTCCATTACTTATGTCTCTCTCTTTTTTTTTCTGCGATACTGGGTTTTGAACTCTAGACCTTGTGCTTGCTAGGCAAACACTGCCACTTGAGCCCTGTTTCCAGCTAAAATTCCATTACTTACTCAAGAGTTATTAAATTTTAGCCTACATTTATGTATTAATAGTAATTATTACTTAAATGTCTCATCTTTTGCAAGACATATTCCTTACTGTTAAGTCTTATGAAAACTAACAGATCAAAGAATATGCTATAGCAACATTTATTAATATTAATAGGTAAATTACAGAATGTCAACATACTATTTTTTAACAAAGATCAGTCAGCTTCCCTTCAATTATTTTCAAATAACTGGCAATAGCTGATCAATTTTATTTAACTATAGAGATACACAAGATGTATACCAGTTGCTGAGTCAGTAAAATTGTAAATATGTGAATGCATTTAAGAACAGATTGAGCACCCCAATCCAAAATTCTAAAATACAAAATGCTGTAATATCAAAAAGCTTTGATGCCACAAGTAGAAAATCCCACAACATGAAACTTTGTTTCATGCACAAAATTATTTATATTGTATAAAATTACCTTTAGGCTATATGTATACGGTCTATCTGAAATATAAATGCACTTCATGTTTAGATTGGGTCCCATCTCCAAGAGACCCCATTATGTACATGCAAATATTCCAATATCCAAAAAATTCCCAAATCTAAAATACATTTAGTCCCAAGCATTTTGGATAAGGGATACTGAACTGTTTGACATAAACAAGGTAGGGCAGTAAATAGCCACACACACACACACACACACACACACACAAACCTGCCTAGTTTTTGTAATTCTTATTTCTGATGCTATAGCTCATTGCAAGAATGGAAGAGTTTATACTTTTTGCTTGCGTATAAATTTCATTCATATTCCACTAATGCATATTTACCATATAGAACTCATGTAGGCAACAAGTATTGTTAGCTCTAACCTGATACTATGGGTAAATAGATAAAGCAGATTCTAAATCTTGACTCCCTTCTCCAGTCCTTCATTTTCACGATAATCACTAATATTCTAAGTGACCTCATGGAATTGCCAAATGTATTCTTAAAATATATTTGACATTATAGAAGAAATACTCAAGTAGTCCATTCAGATATATAGTTGAGTTAATTTGACTATATTCTAATATTCTGCAAATTGGTCACCTGCGTATTTATCTAATGTAAATTTAACAAATATTCAAAGACTACTGATTGAACTATATATTCAGTATGAAGATGTAAAGTACAAACATAGGAAGTCAATTTGAAAACTCAATCATTTAAGATATCAGAATAGAATTTAAGAGTCAATAATGCCAGGCTGGTTGGTTTATACTGCACAATGTAACAAATGCTAACATTTAATGCTACTACATTATATGTATTCTTAGTGTTTTACTTTCTCATTTAATCCTCACAAAGGCACTGTTAGTAAGGAGATAATATACGTAACTTACCAATATTCTTATCTATTAAGTAGCAATCTTTTTTTCAGAATCTAACTACCTCTTTGGTAACTAAATCATAAACTGCAGAGAAAGAGCGAGAGGAGAAACAGGTATTAATCATATCATTTCAATGTCTAATCGCAATTAAGTATGAGTCAAATGACTTAGGACTGGGGGTACAGCTCAGTGGTAAAGCACTAGGTTACATATCACAACACTGTAAGCCCCTTGAAGCCAGGACTCTGCCACGTGTTATGTCCCAAGTGCCTATCAAGTATATAAAAAGCACTCAAAGTGCTTTTAAAGGTTCCCTATTATATTAGTTCTTTTCTGTTATCTTCTGAACATTCATCTAAAGATAAAGCCTTGCTAAAAATGCCACCTAATCGAATCCCAGAGTCAAATGGAGCCTTAATAAAGGTCAAATAGTCTGTCTCCTCATTTATCAATATCACATTCCTAATACTCTCTACCACCTAAGAAAAGTGAGATAAGTCTGATAATGTGTTATTTGATTACTGTCATTGTAAAGGATCATGGGATTTCAGAATTAAATGAGGTTTGTCAAATCAGATATTATAAACCTAGTCCCTCTCCCCTTATACCTAGGAATTTCTTAGGCTTAAAAACTGGCAGTTTATCAACCTGAAAAATTCTCATTTTTAAAAGTTCAGTCTTTAAGCTAGGCATGGTGGTACATGTCTATAATACTAACACTTAGGAGGATCACTCATGAGGATCATGAGTTCAAGGCCAGCCTGAACTACATAGCAAGACCCTGTCTCAAAAAAAGTTTAATTCTTCAATAAGATCCCAAACAACAATTTTGTATAGCATTCACACTACCAGTGTGAAAGACATTTTAACAGTCAAATTAACATAAAATCAACTATAGTTATGAAGAAACTAAATGTAAGCAACTTATCCAAAGTAGCAGCAAAAAGAAAAAAAAAATCTATGTATGCTAAGAGTATTGTGATTTACAAATCATCAATCTTTTTAGACCCTAATTACATTTTCAACTCTAAAACTGGTGTCTACTCAAATGTAAGTGCAAGCCACACCTTGTAAGTAGTACTATGAATGTTAGCATTTCTAACACTGATAGTTGTATCACAAGTTGACAGCGCAACAAACAGCTTACGTGAAGAAAATCCCATTTCCATTCTTACTAACCATCCCTAAATCACAACTGTGCCCTATTCTAAGAATGAATTCTAAAACAGAGGTTGATGGAAAAAACTTGTCATAAGAGTTCACAAATTAGGGTGTTATAACACTGTAACCCAAATAAGGAAGCCCTTTAAGTGAGTAGTGCACAGTAACACAAGCCAGTGCCTATGTCTACAACTATACGAAGTTGATTCTAAAATCTCCAATCTACACCTCCTATAAATTACAGTCCATTTGCCTGCACTAATAAAGTTGTTAAGCTCTAGAATAATATACCAAGCTCCCCCAATAGCACATTAGAGAGATCTTTTTTAAAACCTTTCTTTCATGTGAAAACCAACATGTTTCTTCAAAAAGTAACCAGCTTATCTGCACAAACGCTCTGAAATCAATTGCAAATTCTATCTTCTCTATCAGCTGTTATCTAGCTTCAGTTTTCCATTGGGTTTTGTCTAACTAGACAAATGTACCTCTATGGAGATACAAATATTCTTTCAGTCCTTAACAAAAACTAAATCAGGATAGTAAAGTATTAACTCTCCTTCTAACTATCCTGGAACTGTGAACAGCATCTACAATCCTTAATGTAACATACGAACAGCAAACACATTCAATCTAGAAACTTCTATTAACGTAAATGGGTAACAGGATTAAGAAAGGTGTCTTGGAACAAACATCTGGGGAATGGCGATACACAAACGGTGTCATTAGATAACACACTGCACTCCACATAAATCAGAAACTTTTATTACAGTGTTGAAAATGTAGTGGCAAATTGGTACAGGAAATCCTCGGCCTATGAGGGGCTCAACCTCATTCAAACTTTGCCTCCCCCATAACCAACTTCCCTGACTCACCTACTAACAGTAACAGCATATGCTGTCTTCTAAATCACTCTACCCAGGATATTCACATACAAAACTTCAGCTTAAAATATCATGATACACGGAGAACCAGTCTTTGCTCAAGTCTAAGTTTTGCCCCTCCATTTTTCTCACCAAGTAAGAACCCTTGGATAAACAAGGTCCTGCAGCATTTTGATATTACCCAAAGAAATTGAGAGTTAATCTCCATAGACCTGTGGTCTTATTTTCCCAAATCACCGCAGTTCATTGATTATCACGCTATTTCTATTGCATGCAAAGCAGATTTTTTAAAAACACGATCCTTAAAAAGTAGGCCTCTAATCTCAAATAGCTCGGAACAGAATTTACAAAGAGATAAACTCCCAAACGTGTCAGGAAAACTGTATTAAAACATGAGGAAAGAAAGTCACAGGAAAGAAGAGCGGGGCTACTGTGATTAAAACAGCCAGGGCACAGCCGCAGCAATCAAGTATTCAAAAGGTAAAGCTTGGTCCTGGGGAACAGATAGGGACTGCTAAAATAAGCAAGAAGCAGCGTGAGCTGTCCCACAACCGGAAGGCAGCATCTCGGGGCTCAATCCAAACAGATCCAAAGGCTGCCAGGGCAGACGGCGGCCGGCGGGAGGACCCATGAAAACTGGCTGTGGGAGATGCTGTAGCCCGGTAGGTTAAGATGGAGCCTGCTCTCGGTGGAAGGCCACGAGGGGTGGGACCCCAAAGCTTCATTCCGTGGGGACTCTGGTCCCCAGGGTTTCCGGGCTCAGAGCTCAAGTTTCACCGGGGAAAAAAGAAAAAGAAAAAAGGCGGCAGCAAACGTGCATGCCGGCATCTTAGCTCCCTCGCAATCGTCCCCACTCTGCTTGCTCGGCGGTGGGGCTAGGAAGTAACGGTCCCCGGAGCAAATGCGGGGCTCCGCGCACCCAGCACTACCGCCGCCCCCCACGCGGCAGCGGGCCGAGGAGCGGGAGGCCGGCGCTGCACTCGCCCGGCCGGTCCTTCCCTGGCCTCGCCCCGGGCGCGGCTAAAAGTTTCCAGCCAAAGTCCGCGGCACCCGCTAGCGCAGCCAACCGCCGAACCTAACTGCCTCGCCGCCGCCGCCTCCCGGCCGGCCGACTGGCCGGCCCGCCCGCCCGGCCGTCCGCCCGCCGGGACCCTCGGTCGCGTCTCCCTCCGCCCCCGCCGGCCACCGCGGTTCACCTACCACAGAACCGGGAGAAGAGCAGCAGCGGGAAGAGCAGCAGCAGCAGCGGAGGTGGCGTCGGGGGCGGCAGCAGGAGCCCGGCCCCGGGGGGAGAAGCGGAGGAAAGTTGTGCTTTACCGCCTGCGGGACACAGCGGGGCCGGCCCCGGGGTCCGCGCCATCCCCCACCCTCCCCCCCGGCCCGCTCGCCCGCCCCCCGGCTTCCTCGGCCCCGGCGCCTCAGGCTCTGGGTGGTGGCAGCAGCGGCCGCAGCGCGGCGGCGGCGGCGGCGGCGGCAGGTCCGGCGCGCGTGTCCCTAACTCCCAGCTCGTGCGCCGTCGCCGCCGGCTGACACTCAGCCGAGCGCTCGCGGCTGCCTCGACTCCGCCGTCGCCGACGCCACTGCCGAGGCTGAGGCGGGAGACGCCCGCCCGCCGCCGCCGCCCCTCCCCTCCCCCCGGCACCCGCCCGCCCCGAACTCCTGGGAACTCGGAACGCACCACCCCGCCCTCGCGGGAGGGGGAGAGGAAGCCGACCCTCGGAGGCAGCGCAGGCACTCGCCGGCCCTCCCCTCAACTCCGGCACCCGTCTGATCCCGGGGTGCAAACCGCCGAGTCTCCTCCCACCCCGCCCTCCTACAGACGCTCCTCCCCTTTCAAAAAAAAAAAAAAACCTTCTTCATACACTTTGATAACGGGGTTTCTCCCGAAGCAAAGCTTTAAAAAGGACAGGAAAATCTGGAATAGGTTAGCAGGCCCCGCCCCTCGTTCCTGCCTCTTTTCCTCCCCTCCCCAGCGTTTCCAATGGTCTCGCCCACTCCGCCCCTCGCGGGTCCGCCGCGGCCCGGCAGCAGACGGAGGCGGAGGGCTGTGGGACAATCGCTCTCGGCGCTCTGCTCTCCGGAGTGGCTCTCCCTCTGGCAGGGACCCGGGACGTGGAGAGGGTAGTGAGGGGAAGGCAGGGTGAGCCTGCCCTTCCGTTGCCCGAGCCAAAGGTTCGTGTCTAGGAAGCTGGACATAGCGTGCTGGACGAGCCTGCTCCCTCCTGGCCAGGGCGCTGGGGACTGAAAGGAGAGACTTTGTCCTCCTTCCTGCTCCCCGGGACAGCTGTGCTCTCCGAATTCCTCCCTTTTCCCCAGCCCCACTTCCCCCCGCTCGCCGAGGCACGACTGCACCGGCGTCTGTCCTGCTCCCTCCTCTGGAAGGGTCAGCGGAGCTGGCCGAGGAGACCCCCCGCCCCCTTCCGGAGGTTGGCTTTCTCGCTCTTGGTTCTCTCCTCCGGCCGACGGGTTGTCCACTTTCCGCGCTCGGGCGACTGGCAACAGGAGGCCATGGATTTCCCCCATCGGAGGGCTTCGAGTGCGGTCCTGTTTTTCTTTAGTTATTTGCATGTTCGCACGTGTCATTCTATTTCTTGCTTGTTTTCCTCCGAACTAATCGCAGAAAAGCGACCTCGGGAAGTATTAAATATATGCCCGTAAGAGGAACGTCTGTGGTTCACCATAACCCTCCCTCACCCCCAGATGACTGTCCGCGCTGTCCTCTTCATCCACTCGCCACGCACAGCCGCCGTGGCTTGACCTTGAAGCCCCAGTCACTCGGGGTTATGCTTTGGGGGGGCGGGGGGAGCGGACGGGGAGAATGGACAGCTTGGACTATCCGCTGGGTCAAAGGTGTTGGTGGCCGAGGACTCTAGTCCTAAAGCTTGACACCATTAATTTTATGTAGGTCTCCGCAGTCTCCATCAGATAGCCAAAAATATGCTCCAATAAGATGAGCTGTCGCAGCTAAACTAAAGGTTACCTGCTACCAAGACCAGGCTGTCCTCAGCTTTCAATCATTAGCGTCTTCCTGCTGGCTTACAAGGTTTTACTCACCTCCAAAGGTACACACTGTTGTACCCCCTACCAGCCTCTCATTTTTTCTTTCTTAACTGCTGCCTTGCATCCCAAACTGTCTTCCAGCTTTGGGTCTAGTACCTCTTTTCCTCCACCCCCTTCCTCATTGTTCACCCTCCCTTTGCCAGCCTGCCCATCTTCCCTGTAAACCTGTATCTACAGCCACTGCTTTCTGTCACCTATCCTCAGGATGCACAGCTTTGGGAAATCCTGATGATGATGACTGTAATTGAGGAAATGTAGCTATTGTGACATTCCTCAGCTGTGCTGACACCACCATTTCCCTTGGGAAAATTTCTTTTCCTATTTTCACATTCCCTAAACCTAATTTCACTGTTAAATTTAGACAGAACCCACTGTGCAACTAGTAGCTAATTATTTGTTTAGATAGCACTTTAACACGTTGAGACTCAGTTAAATGTTAAACAACCAGAATTTTAATATTGGTAGCCACTTTCATTCCCTCAGCCTTTCCCTGATGGCTCCAGTTTCAAGGAAAAGTAATTTAGTCGACATTTTAAAAGGTGCCAAGGGCTTAATATGGGGGCTATTTTGCAATTTTCTATAGAAACCATAAACAGGCTTAGTACGTCTTAAAAAGATGATACGGAGCTTTAAAGATACTCCTCTGTACTGGAGAAATTGAAAAGTGGCATACTATGACTATATTTTCTCACCTAAAGTGAAGAGAATGCATGGGATAACAGTATTTATAGATGATATACAATTATTAAAAGTGCACCATGCTGGAATTTTATATGTATAATGCATCATGTTATAATAATAATTTTTGTCGATAAAGCATCTTCAACCTGAGATATCAAAGCACATACTCATTCCCACAGAAGGTAACAGTTACTATTACCCTTCCTTGACAGCTGAAGGAACCTAGGCACAGAGGTTAAGTGCTGTGCAAATATTGCCACTCATATGCAGTGATTTTCTTAGCACAAGTAGGTTTTTGTCCTCCAAAGGACACCAGTGACCCCTCACAATTCCTCTTTAAGTTACAAAGAGCTCCATGTGGTGGCCCACACCAGTAATCCCAGCACTCAGATGTCAGAAGCAGGAAGATGTTAGCTTCAAGGCCAGCCTGGGCTACTTAGTGAAACCCTGTCTCAAAAAAACAAAAACAAAAAGTTTAAAAGATAATTTACTAAGGTAACTCAAATTTCTACTTTCTAAAAGTGTCCAGTCTTAAATTACATTGTCCTCAGATAAATGAAACATACACAACTCAAGTGTTCCTGTTGGAAATTATTACTGAGTACAAAAAAAAATTTTACATTACATAGTAAAACTCATTCTTTCAAGGACTAGAATTACTGGCGATTTTTTAAATCTTTAAAGCACATTACTGGGTTTTCTACCATTTTTAGTTTTCTAAATTTACAAGTTCATATTTATTGTTTGAGTAAGAATCTGGTTGATGGAATAATTAATTATACTAATTTGTTGATATTTCTGACACCACAGAATACTTAAGTATAAATTTATTTTTCAGAACAAACGAAAATGAACCAAAATATGACCATAATGCCAACAATTACTTTTACTGTTGGTGTCTGTCCTGTATTCTGCCCTAGAAACTATTTGCCAGTGATCAAGGTTTATAAACTGTTAAAAACAAAGGCAGTCATCCTAACAAAGGAGTAATTATGTACAGTGCTGGACATTTTTTACATTTACTCAAATATCTCAAACTTACAAGAATTTCTTTTCAGCCTCACACTTACCAAATGCAACTCTTTCTTACCAAAAAGATCTTCCCCCATAAAGTCATATTGCTTCCCCCTCATATTTCCTTTGGCTCTGTGCTCAGATTTTACTTTGTCATTGAGACCTTCTAGGACAACTCCTACAAAAGAGCAGCCCCCACTCCAGTCTCTTTCCCCTTAACTTTTCATCTGACATGTATTATTGTCTTTTTCCCTTCACTAGAGTGGAAGTTCTATAAGGGCAAGCCAATATCTATTCTTTCACTACTAAAAACCAAGCACCTAAAATAATGCCATGTAGGTTAAATGATAACTATAGTAGCATCACATAATCAAGTGTCTAAGAGTAAACAAACTCCATAGAAGTATAGTACTAGAGAAAAGGTTAGATCAAAAAGAATTAACCTAGAAGGTAACACCCACGCACAGGAAATCAATGTGAGTCATGCCCTGTATAGCTATCTTTATCTCAACCAGCAAAACCCCTTGTTCCTTCCTATTATTGCTTATACTCTCTCTACAACAAAATTAGAGATAAGGGCAAAATAGTTTCTGCTGGGTATGAGGGGGTGGAGTGGGTGGTAAGGGAGGGGGTGGGGGCAGGGGGGAGAAATAAACCAAGCCTTGTATGCACATATGAATAATAAAAGAAAAATGAAAAAAAAAAAATAATAAATAAATAAATAAAAAAGACCTTGAGAAAATGATTGATCCTGATTTTTTTTTTAGTTTAACTTTTTTTTTTCATGTTGAGTTTCTTAAACCAGAAGATGTTTATTCTGCATTGCTTAAGACTTTGATTTAATTGCTATTAGCGATAATTTTCTAAGTCTCATCTCTCCATTCTGTATTCATACTTCTGTATTCTGTTCTTGTACTAGGGCTGAGACTCTGCAAACTGTATATGTCCTTTACCAATTTCTTCCTGATGGTTCTATCAATTGTGGTCACTATAGAGAGTATGGAAGGCACTTTCCTTTTCATTTGCTTCTTGCTGCTATCAGCATCATCAGGGCAATAAAAGCCTGTTACTCTGTCTTTAGCAGTTGCTTTCCAGCTTCTCACTGCTTTTACATTCTGTATACCAGATTCATCCCAACCCCTCCCAGTTACCAGCCTCAGCCAAGCTGTTCCCACTTCTCAGAGGGCCAAGCCTGAGCTCAGCAGGATCTCCCTTTGTGCTTCTTATAACCAAACCATTTCTCTTTGTTCTCACAGCTCTAACTGTGGTAACAACTTCCTTCCTAACAGATAAATTTGTATCCCTAGGCCACTTCTTTTGACCTGGACACTCCTTTCAAACTCTTGTAACTTTCCTTGCATTAATTTTCTTTTAGTTAAAGAGCATAGTTTCTGTAATCCTTATTGGAGCTCAATTGATGCTTTATTTGTGGCTATTTCCCCACAACCTCCCCGTGGAAGTTATTTTTCTCTAGCTCAAACTGTTTAAAATTACAGAACCAACATCAACCTGTCAATTAATGTATATAAAAACAGTAAGTCAAATGAACAAAATCTTTCCTTTTTCCTCATTTCCTTGGCAGCAGTCTGGGTTAAGCAGAGGTAGGTTTGAAATGAGTGAAATTGGAGGTAATGGTGTTGCTTTTTTAGTCATATATACATTTGCTTTATCTCTTGGCTGATGTTCTTTATCCAGATCATGATAAAAACAAATACAATTTAGGTTGTTTCAGTGACATTTCTTTTATAGATCTTGACTGTACTTGAGAATCATTATGGAACTAAAAGGTAAAAGGATTATTTGGAAAAGAATTTCTCTATC